TAATAATACTATTTTGCCAATTTTCCGTCACTCGCTTTATATACCCGCCTGTGTAAAATAAATGCGTGTGCATCTATTGTTCAGTATTGGCCATTGTGCCATTCACAGAAGAACGACATTCATTTATCCTGTGTTTGCATATATCGACGCATTTCCTTTGTTTGTGGAATGTACTAAAATAAATTTTTCCTGCTTTTACCCTGTTAATATGTGTGCAGCAGTGTGCTCTTACAAGCCTAAGCAAAATACAAATCGCGCTCTGATTCTACCGATGGTTTCGCCTGCTACTTTCCAAAGGATTGGTATCTACCTATTGCACCTGACTCAGCCTCCTTCTGTTTCGTGTTACTTTCTTTGTATTATCAACCGTGCTTTTTGCTGTCTTGCGTTACTGGCTACACCTAGTAAACTTTCCTTCAATAGGTTGCAGAAGAGCATTTCCCAGTTCTTGTTTGGCAATCCGTTACTGCGTACGTACTTGCGGAAAAACACTAAATTATTTGAGAAAACCTGATAGTTCCTTTCCGTACTCATTTGGACAGCACGAAGTAACTAATGTCTTGTGTCCAGTGCGCGAAAAGTTTCAGTAGACTTTCCCCAGAAGTGAGTCTTTTGGCCTTCTTTTTAATCTACTAATTTCAGTTGAGCTGCGCAGGTTGCCGCCTTTCTTTTTGCAAAAAATGTCTTTCGCACAGTGTCACCCTCCCTGGCAAGGAAGGTAAACCAGCCAAAGTTTGTTATACGTGCTTCGATCGGATCGTAAAGTAAGCTGGTTAGGTGGATAAACATTTTAAAGTCACAAACCGCTTCAGGATACGAGTGATTGGGAGCCTCCTACCAACTTCGTGAAGTAAGTTTTATATTTCTAGCGAATTTCATAGGCGAATGGAAGCCCTTGAAAAACGTAATGCTGCTCCCATTACCACAAGACCCCAAACCAATACCCGGCCCACGCAAGGTAAGGTATTTCGCATTTAATATACTCTGTTTATCGATCTTTCCATGTGAAGTAACTGAGATTTATGCTTAGGACTAGTAGGATATCACCTTTTACTATCAGTCTTGAAGCAGAAACATGAGCTACGATGACCTGGCAAATAAAGTATGTATGCGGTCTGTACGAGTCGTAACCTTTCGACTAGGGGCTGTTCACGGGTCTTTGGTTGAAGAACTCTCCTTTAAACCAGTTTGGATTCGGGGTTTCTCGAGTTTGGAATGCACTGCGATGATTCTACCTCAATTGGGGGCAGTAGTGATTCTATTTATGCTATTTCACGGATAGCCATCTGCATACTTTTAACAAATTCTGCTTAACTTTTATTATGCTGTCTCGGGTTTCAACAGACAATAATGTACATACAAGAACGGTCCGCAGAAACGCTTGGATGTTTTTGGATGTAACGGGTTTCATTTAGTCAGTTGATAGGCTTGTTTTGTCACCAATCATATTAGACTGTCAGCTCCTGTCACCAGTCTGCGTAGTTAACCTTTTATAAATTTGTGTTTTTCTAGTTGACAGCCTTGCAGCGCGTGCTGACGCTCTTCTTGATGCCGGTAAAGTAAGTAATTTACTACTTTTCGCTGCTATCTCTATATTCTCTAATTTGACGCTCGCTCTTCTTCTTTGGCGAAGGGACCTCTCCCATCAGATGACGAATTACAGGCACGCTTGGACGCCTTGAAGGACTTTTCTTCCCACAGACTCCCTCGCCAGAGCCCATTGCCTAAACTACCGGATACCGAAGAAGAGCAAGTTAAT